TTTACGAATCATGGTAAAAAATATTTGCTCTTAACAGCGTCTTTATTCCTCTCCAAAAAAGGGATTTCACGAATCAAGAAATAAAACAATAATTTATAAAATCTCATACTGTGACTGTGATAACAGCTCCATTGATGAAACAAACTCAATCGTTACATATTGTCCAACATGATGATGAGAAAAAGGACTCATTTTACTTTCAACACTCAGAAATTCTATTCGTTGAATCGAACTGACGAAGAAGAGTCGTTAAGTAAAGCACATTGACTCACCAGACACAATGAAAATCTATAAATAATATAAAATTAAACTGAATATTTGTATTTTAAGAATCTACAAAATAATCTTAATTAAATATGCTTAAATAAATTATAAAAACATGCCTATGGGTAAGCCTATGGGTCGGTACAATGTTCTACGAACAATGATAATTAGGATTGTAGTATGACTTTTCTTTTATCCCTGTAATTAGGTCTTGTTCTGTCAATCAATAGTTGTTCTATATAGAGATTATGTAACTTACTTTTTTGTTGTTCTTCCTGACTATGATAAGTGTATCTTGTCGAAAGCTTGAATAAACACATAAATGTGGTTTTTTGTATAAAAATCTATTATGCTATTTGTAGCACGTCTATATTCAATATTACATAATGTTTTACGTAATAGAAACAAGCTAACGACACCAAGTTTGGATTTATTGAAAGCCAGGTTTTAGTCGATTAACTTTCCTCATAAATCACACAATTAGGGTGTCAAGATATACAAGGTCACGTATACGAATGAATGAATTTATCGGGAGATCTTTTCGGGTGCTATCGAATTGTAGTAGCTGACAGCTACTTTATCAGTATTTTTCTTGCAAAAAAACGAAAAAAATTCTCAATTAAAAATTGTGATTTTCAAAAACGATCTGATCAAATATACAGATTTTTTTTAATCGATAATCTTTACAATATCAAAAATTATTAATAGCATATTTCGGTGAGAAGTAGCTGATGACCAGTCAACTATAGACTGTCTCATTCTTCTATTTATGAACATATTGATCAGAGCAAACAATGCACTTTGTTTCTTTAGAATTCATTTCATTTGCCACGTTAAACTTGAAGTTATTAAGAAACTGCCAAAGGCCTTCTTACAGCTGATTTCGTTTCATTTTACGAAAGAATTCGTATTTTTGCTTAGTTAGTTCATGTTTGGAGAAGATACATTTGATGTTCATCGCTTGTCTAACGAAGACTTTGCACATAGACAGGCCTTAACGAAAAGAAATTATTGTTAAAGTTTCAGTTCGTTTTGTGTTTTCTATCCTAAAATGCGGCTATGATAAAGACACTTTTTTACACTACTCATGTACACTGGTAGATTACAATGTTCTTATTATAGTGCAAAAGACTGTATAGTAATCGTTCGCCATTGTTTTTTACTTTCTTGACTTTTCATTGAAATCGCTATTTTCTGTTGCACGGTTTTCGTTAAAATTTTAGAAAGCTGCATAGTCGTATATAATGAATTTTTTTCGATACTTCGATACGAAGTTTCGTTTTTTTCTCAATTCGTTCCACAAAAATGACGATTTTTGAGGTGAGAACTTCGTTTTTTTTTCGAGATATTGACGCAATAATGAAAACGAGCTCCAACAGCCAGAATGATTAAGTCTAATATTGCTGCCATTTTTCGAAGTTTTCGTTTTATCGATGATCGGCAATGAAAATTTAAAACAACCATGAAAGAGACAAATAAAAACTCAATAGCCCTGCTTTTGATTCTTCGATATTCATATACAGAATGTAATTCAGTTGTATTTAATACTGAAGAAAAAATAAACAGATAGAAGACAAAAATTCATTTTTTTCAAAAGCAAGAGTAAATATTTTATATTAGTACGTTATTATTTACATTCTTATCAAGATGTAGATAGTACATATTGACATAATTTGTAAATAGAAGAAAGTAAAACTTTTCTATCATTGAATCTCTGTTTATGTGCGTAAAATATTACAGACAGTTTCACAAAAACCATAGAGAACAACATGCTAATGTTATATACTCATTTTTCTAATGACCATAATTTGTAATCGATTTTTAATTCTTAAACAAATCTTAAGATATGCATATTGATATAAAGTTATATCATTACACTCTGACAAGGTTGCATTTTCTATTCAATATATCTGAGTGTATCTGATTGACTTATGAAAAAATTGTTGCAGATTTCTTTCGATTTTGATTACGAGATACTGTCAAAAGAAAATTTCAAAATATCTCTAGATTGTTAAGTGTGTCATAAATCTTCGTGACCCTTCCGTAGTCTATAGAATGCATTCAAGAGGATTTCATACATACGCACTAGAATTTAAAATGACTTAGATCTACCATTTCGATTTTTATATTCACATTAGACTATCTTAAAAGGTTGGTTTTTCTCATCAGAATCAAATAAAAACTAAACTGATTTTTGTTCTATATATTCCTTTGGGAATATAAGTATTTTTGACGTTCAAGTTGGAATGAACAAGCTAAATATTTTTTGCTTTCCTTTTTCTCTATTGAGAAATAAGATGAAACGTCGAATTCTCTAAAATATCTATTTAAATTGAAAAAAATGAACTATACTAAATATCATTAATTTTTGAATCATTTGAAAGAAAAATTGTCTAATGTTCATGATAATGTAACTTTTCTTTATTTAAACATGAAATAAAATACAGGGAGCTTTTTTAGAACAGTCATGCCCTGTCAACTATCAGTAATAGAATCATTGAATAAATATGCATTGAAAGGTCTTCTAGCTAGTCATTGTCTATCTTTAAAAGATGCTAATTATCTCAAACTATACAGAAACAAATATCAATCTGTGTACTCAATATGAAATGGACGTCATTGAGCAAGTACGCATCTTTTTGCTTCTTTGTCGTCGCTTGTCGTCTTCTCTATCGGTGAATGTTTCATTACTGGTATGCGCCGTTCTTCTCATGGAGTGCTTATTTGATAAGAATCTTTAAAAGAAACAAAGAAAAGAAAGTATACACAGGCAAAAATGAAGTAGAAAGCGTTGCCATGCTGCAAAAGTAAGAAACAAATTATTTGAAAAAAAAACAGGCCAACGGTGCATGGTGCAAATAAATTCTATCAACAACAGCATACTATTAACTTTAGGCAGAAAATATCGGCTTCAATTACTTGAGTGTGGTAAGTAAATTATTAGGAAGATTCACAAAGCAAAAGGAACTATTTTGAATGTTATACAATCAGCGTCAAGACACGGCGAATATTTAAAATAATCGATACAGATATAAAATTAAGACACGTGATTGACTTTATTCAAGCCGATCAGCTTGTTAATGTATGTTGGTTGCTGATCGCGTTTATTCACTATTTCATAGCTGTCTCATATAGCTTTGATGTTTTCATTCATCTCAATTCTATCCTGTTTTCTATATGTAACATGATTTGTTTCACTCTTTTGTTCCTCCACTCTATTCATTAAGTCCAGTTATTAAAGAGATAAGAAACGACAGTCTGTATAATGTAACTACGAATTTAATGAGATCATGTAAGAAAAGAAGACGAAAACAATGGTAAAATTTTGACTGTGGGTAAGAGTACTAGTACAACAGCTTCCGGTCAGTAAACAATTTTCACAGATGACGACCAGAAAATATCAATGAGAGAGCGATAAGTGACAATAAAGACAAAAGTTGCCAACCATAGTAAAATCTGTAACCGTAAGGCCAGAAAGCTTCGCTTTACTCAAAGATGTAACAGAGTCAAAGGAACAACCTTCACCACTGACAGTAATGTGAAATATTAAGATTCAATTACTTGGGTGTGGGTGTAGATGTGCGTTTAGTTTTAAATGAAGCTTCCATCTTCCCACATCCACAGCCACGCACACCCATATACAATTGAGTTAAGTCTTTGATATGTCGGACTTTGCTAACAGGAATGAAATAGATTAATTTTGATCATTGAATGAATTTCATTGTTTTTGTATATTTATTTACTGTCTATTTTCGATAAGTGTGAGCAGATAAACAAAATTTAGAATTTCCATCAGTTATGATGTTTCGAATGTCTAGCACAAAACAGCTAGACAAGGCCGATTTTTTATTTTGAAATTAGCCTATGAATCAAGCTTTATTCATGAACTAAAGCTTATAGCTCATGAGTGCTCTTCATAATAACATGCCAATTCAAACCAAAATATGATTCTCATCAAAACTTTTCTGATCACGAATTAAGCTGCGATGGGTCTATCCTTTTCAGATGGTTTTTCTATTGCTGATTTATGGCAGTTAAAACTTTAAAAAAAAATTAATTGTTCCATTTACCGATTTCCGATTCTGGAAAACTATCTTGAGAAATTTCGTTCATATTTTAAGCTCCGCACTGTTGTCGTAATCATCATAGATATACTTACGTTTTATAAATATTATTTCATAAATGTTCACAACGAGTTAATCAATTGCTTTAACGTTTCTGCTGAAAGCAATAATTATTCCACTAGAACTGTCAGCTTGATCTTAGAAGAGTAATCGAATCATCTTTGAAAATTGTGTACATGACTTTTTTTCTGCTTTCGATAATGACTTAATCACAAGAAGTTTTTATTATTATTGTTGATCTTGCGGTAATTTTATTTATTTTATAAATCATAAAATGCTATCGTACACTGATTGATTTTTGCATAAGATACAGCACGTTTCGAGTAGTTAAGAGTTGTACATAAGTCACTGAAGACAAATCTTCAAGAAACAGAAGATGAACGTCTTTCTGCTGATAGTTTTCATATTCTTCTTGTCAGAATCACAAATATACTATCAGAACAAAAAGAAGCAATTCCTTTCTCTATTATTATACAGAAAGTGGGAGTACTAAAGAAATATTTTCTAGAATATCCTATAGAAAAGCAAACCAAAAATATTTTTATTAACTGCTTTGGATTCGTAACAATCATACTTTCATCAACGTTCAACAGCATATAAAACACGTAGGAGATGAATCGTTTTGGTGATATCGATGTTTCATTTAAGAGACTTCCACCTGTTTATGGTTATCTTAGTGAAAAACTTGTTCCCATTGAAAAAGCACTAGAATCTATCGAGCCTCAAATAGATAACCTGCCTTATTGGACAAAGATAGCCAAATGCAGCTGTCATTTTCCGTCAGAACATGGACTAACACGTGATGAATCAGCTGCTGTTTATATCTATACGATGGAATGGGGTGAAACTGCTTTGTATCGTGTATTAAATAAAGCATTACGATCTGAAAATCGGCAACAATTAAAGATATGGTTTCGATATTTAAAACTATTTGATACAGCATTGGATAAGTTACCTACTGTTAAAGAGGTGGTGTGGAGAGGTGTACCACTTGATATTGGCAAGAATTTCACCGAAAATCAGATTGTGACGTGGTGGAGCATTAACTCATGTTCGTCATCAGTCAACGTTATTAAAAATTTCCTTGGTAACGACAAAAATTCAACTCTTTTTCTTATTGAAGCTATTAATGGAAAAAAAATTTCTGGATACACAGAATATGAAAATGAAAATGAAATTATTTTACGAATGGCCTCAGAGTTTCGCGTAAAGAGCGATCCTTTAGAGCAATCGAATGGCTCATATCTGGTACATTTAATTGAGATTGATGATAACGATGATCAACCATTAGCATCAGCTATGAATGAAATGCAATTGGCTGTAAAGTCATCAAATACATGTGCTTTGGGTAAGTTGTTTATATATTTTCTCAACCAAATAAGATTTTGGATGCCACAATGTTTAAAATTCTACAAAAAATATTTGACTAGTGAGTACTGTATATATGATAAAGAAAGAAATGAGGTAATTGTGTTACATTTATTTAATCAATAAAGAAAAAGTTCTAACCACGAAATTTCGATAAATACAAAAGAGGATTTACTTATTTTTAAACAAAATTTTTTGTCATGAATTATTTTCATCAATAAAATAGTATTCAATAGAATTGGACCGTTTTAACATCCTCAAGTGATCTGATTCAACCTGTGGATTCAACATCGAACTACCCTAGAAAATCATGTCTTTCATCGAAACCTAGTGGAGTTAGGTCTGAAGTTTGTTACAAGAGATCGTCCAATAGCATTTTAAATCTAGCAATTCTATCATGTTGCACTCCTCGAAATCTTTCTTTTTAAAATAGTTCGACCACATATGAATGAGGATTAAGAGAATTCTCTTGATCATCATTCCCAACCGTTCACCTATTTGCTCGTTTTCGCCCGTTGATTCTTAAGGTCTTTGAACGCCATTACTTTATTGAGTTGCTTGAGGGCGTAGATGCGGGTTTGTGTATGCGTAGAGATGTAAGAAAATGGTCTATACCCCTGTTCGGTTCAATCTTTTAACCAACTGCACAACTTTAACCCATGTGGTATATGAGTTTCAGAGTTTTAACAGTTTGGAAAAAAGGAATGGCTTCAATCCTTTTCTACGAAGATAGTTATTGATTATTCTTAGAACGACATATTCTTTTTGATGTTTTGCAATCTCCTTCGCCACAATAGGACAACTTTTTCCTTGTCGACCATTTACTTAAGAAATGACGTCTTGACTAGCTTGGGATCAGTATTTGAATAATCAGTAAAACATTAGTCATATGATTTCTTCCACCATTCTGTGACAAATCGAGTCGTGGGATGAATTTTTTCCGTGATCCACTGTCTATTTATAAATGTTGCACCAGCATCGCGAGCTTCACGAAAAGTAAATGCATTTAATTCTTTCAATCATTCTCTGTTGTTTAGTATCATGAGTACAAGCCATTTTCAAGTAATGGAACTTCGTTGATTCATCAAAAGAATGGATTGTTTTTTATGAAATCTATCGATCAGAAAATGAGCTTATATATTACTCCACAAACTACTTTAACTTTTCTCCTTTATAACTTTCTAACAGAAGAAAAACAAAAAAGTCTTTTAACTAATCGCTATCCCAAGGAACAGACAACAGAACACAAAAGGACAATCCTGTTTTCTGAATTAGAATTACGTCTTATAATCCTTAGAGCAAGGGTTTCTTCGATTTTTTCAAAGAAATTTTCTCTTTTACTTTGTCTTACAATTCACTAAAAGTAAATTATGACGATTGTATTCGACAAAATTCTATAAATTTTGAGAGTTCAACATACGAAAGTTTTCATAATTCTTATTATTTAATACTAAAAAGTCCATTTTTAACGAGCTTTCATTTAATATAAAATTCATTATTTACTCGAGTTGAAATGATAGCGGTACCCTCCTGAAATAATATTATTTCCTACCCTGTACTGTTGACGATGCACATTTTTTACGAAGCAGTCGAAATCCTCTTTCTTGGCATCTTCCTTACAAGATTCTAATAGAATATTCTCGGCATTTTTCCAGCTTCAGAGTCTGACAGAGATTATTATTTTATTGCTTAAATCCTTTATAGGAAATTAGGAAATTTTTCCCAATTTTTATTTACAGGAAGAACTTCTCTTGGTTACAGTATGAGAGAGAAGGACATTGCCGACAATTTTATCAACTCTCCTTAGCAGAGGACTGACACTCTTGTAGCATTTTCTTCGAGAGAGAGGAGGATCTATCTGACAACGATGATGGCAAAGATTCCCTTCTTTCTCGTCTATTTTAGTGATTCCTAATATTCCTGCCAATGCCCGATGGGTACAGAATGGAGTGACGATTGCTGGAGGCCATGAACGAGGTAGTGATACCAATCAATTCGACTGGCCTTATGGCCTCTTCGTCGATGAGGATCAAACAGTGGTCATAGCTGACTTTGACAATCATCGTGTCGTCCAATGGAAGTTGGGTGATACGAATGGAGAAGTAGTAGCTGGTGGCCATGGCGAAGGAAATCAATTGGATCAATTAAGATATCCAACTGATCTGTTGATCGACAAAGATACGGATAGCCTCATTATCTGTGATCGAGGAAATGGACGAGTCGTACGATGGTCTCGTCGTAGTTGCACAACTCAAGGAGAAATCCTTATCGACAACATCAACTGTTGGGGATTGGCCATGGATGATCAGAGATGCCTCTATATTTCTGATGAAAACAAACATGAAGTCAGACGATATCACATAGGAGACAAAAATGGAACTGTTGTGGCTGGTGGTCATGGCAAAGGTGATGGTCTCAATCAACTGAACGAGCCCAGATATCTCTTTGTCAATAGACAACAGACTGTCTACGTGTCGGACCGCAACAACCATCGTGTAATGAAATGGGGCAAAGGTGCAAAAAAAGGAGTTGTCGTTGCTGGAGGTCAAGGTCAAGGGAATGCTCTGACACAACTGGCTTTCCCAAACGGATTATTCGTCGATACGTTTGGCACCATCTATGTGACAAGCACGGGAAACGATCGAGTAATGCGTTGGCTTAAAGGAGCGAAACAGGGCACTGTCATTGTGGGTGGAAATGGTGAAGGCAAAGGAGCAAACCAGTTTCACGGTCCCAGGGGCTTGTCCTGCGATCGGCATGGCCGTCTGTATGTCGTCGATAAAAACAACAATAGAGTCCAACAATTTTCTATGCAAACTAAAGACCAGCGTGGTTCATCTTTTTGCGTCCAACAATAAAATCGTACATAACCAAAAAGTAATGCCTATTTACAGAAAATAATGAACTTCAAGCCTATTCTATTCGCGCAGCACAACCATGAACCACCCTGGTGAAGACCCAGTTGTGTGCCACGGACACCAGGATAGGTCCTGGCTGAGTCTTTAGAGCCTGCCCGGAAAACCTACATATCAGAATGGACCGCATAGAGACTAACTCATCCACTCTACTGTAACGAGACCCCTAACAGCTCTTTAGTTCTACCTAATCTCACCCTTTTACTTCCCCCATTCTCATGCGCACGAAAGTTTTTACTCATTAAAGAACGACGCGATGATACTGATTACTGAAAGAGAGTTCAATCAATTACAGCCGTTCTAAAAGAAAAAAAGGCTGTATTTCCTTTCACTGTTATCATGTGCAGTTGAAGAACTAAAATAGATGGAAAAAAATAGGTCGAAAAATTTTATCTAAAATAAAAAGAAACGACAATAAAGATTATAACAGGTGCAGATACATAGAGTGTATCTCATCAGGATACATTTTAACGATCTCTTAGAAGTGATCATTTTTTTTCATTTTTTTTAAATTCTTTTTTCTTAGTCTAACATCAGTATTATTATAATCATTGAATTAATTGGCATATATCTGCTTTACATATCCATGATATTACAGCAGAGCTTATGCGCCATTATATATCAATCAACTCGCCAACAGTGATATTCATTATTTTTCAAAATTACAACCTGATCAATTTTGCAAAAGAAAGAATCTAAAAAATTTGACGCCTGTTATTCTTGATTGCTAAGGTCTGTAATGGACGGAGGAGGGGTGCCACAAAACTTTGCCTTAAAATGTACGCTCTCTATTTTTCTTCGTAAAATATGTGAGTTCCACAAAATATTACATTTAATGTAGGATCTTTCGTACTGCATAGAATATTTTGTGACATGAAAGTCGTAACATGCACTTACATTAACAACATTTTAATAAAAGCTCCTTCTTTGTTTTTTGATAGATATTTGCCATATTTGATACCGAAGAACAAATTTTTCAGAAACTTACTTTTGGTAACTAACTCTCATGTATAAATGTATCAGAGAGCGATAGACAGATGTTAAAAAGAATAGATATTCTCTACGTGAATGCAAAAAATCATCAATGAAATAGTAGAACGAAAAACTCCGATAAGAATAAGGGACACATATTCTTATTTCTTTCTGTTTATCTATATGACCACTTTATAAATGACATAGAAAGATTAATGCTCATGTGAGATTATGTTCTCTTCTTCTTCTTTTCATCTCCTGTTGTTTTTTTACTTCTTTCTTGATCATAGTACATAATTATGTGTCACAATTTTAGTTACTTAACTATTCTAGTGAAGAAATCGCAGAGATAAAACGCTTTTTAAATGGAGTCGCTCTGGGACAAAATCTAAGAATAGAAATATTTAGTTGTTGTGGACAGATTATAAACTTTTTTTCTGTCTATTCCCGTAAGTTTTTCGCTTGAATAACTCTGAGAGAGATTTATTCAATTCAAAATTTCAAGTTTTATCGACTGGAAAGAATTCCGAGTAAAGCGGTGCACAGAGCGGGTCAAAACGTATTTTACTAGCACCCGAAAATGTATTTAAAAAGCTTCGAAATTTATTAAGTCAAAATTATCCTTCACTCACCAAATATTCACAATGAAAGCTATCAGTTAAGAGAAGATTATTTCCTTGAAAGTTATTTTAGGCATTTGTGAGATACAGAGTTTTCTGAATTATAATGTATTAGTTTGGTGAAACGGAATAAACTAGTAGTACATCAAACGTTGAGTAATGTTTTTTGTTTTAAATCCAGTACACGCAGTTGAAAATATTACAATTTTCATATTTTAATGCGTTAAGGGTACCTGCTTCTTTTTGGACCATTTCGGATTCTTGATGGAGCTAAAATTTTTACTTCAGATAGAGTATTAAAAATAACGAGGTACGTGCTCGAATAGAGAATTTTGAAGTTGAATTTTTCTGGGAAACTTTAGTTTTTCATAGAGCTGCATCCTGGTGCATGACGATCCCCATTAACCGTTATCTGATTCGACTGAAAATGTTTTTCACTTGAAATCAGCCATAGATTTTCAAGATCTTTGGACTTAATAGTTTATGAACAAACACAATCTTCTATTAAAGTCGTTAATGTGTCTATCTGTTAAAATTCCATTTGAATGGCATATTTCTTTTATGTATTAAAAAAAAAGCAAGCAATTTACTACATTTCTTCTTTTAATCTTTGAGTTCATAAGAACGAAGTTCATACTTCTAAGTAAAGTCCAAGAAACAAAAATATGATAAAATATCTGCTCGTATAAAATTCTCAAAAAAGAAAAACAACCAGTAAATGAAAGAGTTAAAAGTAAGAATAATGTACTTTGTCCTTCAAGATTACAAAGACACGATGCGTTCTACTTTTCAAGTGGGACAGAGCAGTACGAAGAAATACGAAAAAAAATATCTTTAATAATTTTTTTAATATTTCTATTTGAATTTAAAATAGTTCATCGTTTCCTCACTATATGAATATTTCTTCACGTCTTGTCTCTAATTATTCGAAAAAACCTAATAGACGTAAATTGATATATATTTGAAAGCTTTTTTTTTGTCATATAGAATTGTTTATTTTTAAAATCATAGATTCCAATACTATATTTACTTTGAATAAGATTAAACTTCAATCCATTTGTTTTATTATATTTATCACAAAATTTTAAGTTAGTAGCTTCTGAAAGAAATCATGAAAGGAACATGCATTTGACAATTCTCTAAGTTATATTAATCATGCTAAAACAAAATAAAAGCATAATGAAGGAGAAAAGCGTGTTTATGATAAAAGAAAACAAAACAAGTCAATTAAAACTCCCATTTGTCATCCTTGATACCCCGAGCAACGATACGCGTTGTTACGACTGTAGCCAAGGCAGCAAATGCCCAAAACCAGAAACCAAGTCGAGGTAATGGCAACCATTTTCGATGAACTTTTGCAAGTGTTTCTAAACTAGCTGTTTTTTTCTGACTATAAGGTGGATTACGTTTAGCAATAAGAAATTCCGACCATATAGGTGAATAAGCAACTGAACGAGAATGACTAAATGTATCAAATGAATATTTGCCATGATAATTTCCGAGACCACTAGCACCAACACCACCAAATGGTAAACATTGTGGAGCTATTTGAAAAATAACATCATTAACACAAGTTGAACCAGAACTTGTTGAATTAATAACTGTTTTAGCTAAATTTTTATCTGATGTAAATACATATAGAGCTAATGGTTTTGATCGAGTATTAATAAATTCAATAGCTTCACGTTCATTACCAACTGTTATTATTGGAAGAAGTGGTCCGAAAATTTCTTCTTGCATTACTTTATCAGTTCCATTAACATTTGTCCTAATAAAAGAAAAAGAAAGTACAATAGATATTAAGAAAAAAAAAATTTTTTTTTTTTCTTCTTTATACATGATCGTTGGTGCTATATAATTTAGTTTAGCATCTGTTTGTCCACCATGAACAACTTTTTCTGTATTAATTAAATTTTTGACACGTTCAAAATGTCGTTCATTAACCATATGACAATATGAATCCGAATTAATTGGATCATCTGTATAAAATGATTGCCAAGCTTTGACTATTTCTGGTATAAGACGATTTTCCGTTGTTTTCGAACATAAAATATAATCAGGTGCTAAACTAACATAAAAAAAAAAAAACAGAAAATTCTTAATATTTTTTGTTTGGCTAGAAAAAAAAATCTTTTACCATGTTTGTCCACAATTAATAGTTTTTCCCCATGCAATACGTTTAGCAGTAACTCCTATATTGGCATCATCAGCAACATAAACTGGACATTTACCACCACATTCAAGTACTACAGGTATCATTTTTTCTGCAGCTGCTTTCATTACAATTTTACCAACCATTGTTGAACCAGTATAAAATACATGATCGATATCACCTTTAAGTAATGCTTGAGTTTGATCAACAGCACCGAGTACAACACGAACACAAGATGGATCAAGATAACGTTCAACCATTTTTGCAATAATAGTAGCTGAATTTGGTGCTAATTCAGATGGTTTAAGAATAGCACAATTACCAGCAGCTAATGCACCGATTAATGGTGATAATGTTATTAAAAATGGATAATTCCATGCTCCAATAATTAAACAAATACCATACGGTTCACGATGAACACATTTGTCCATTGTGGCATATGCTAATGAATCTGAACGATATTCATCACGTGCCCATTCATCAATATGATTAAGAGTATGAACACATTCATTACGAATCTATAGAAATAAAACAAAAATTTTTTTTTTTTTCTAATTTAAAGAAAAACTTACAACACCACAATCATATAAAAGTGTTTCTGCAGTTGGTCGATGAAAATCTGCATGTGCTGCTGATGCAAAAACTTCTTTTTGTTCATCACACATTTTGTACAGTTGTTCAATTTGTCTTTTACGCCATGCAATAGATTTTGTTTTACCAGAATTAAATTCTGCACGAAGCTCTTGAAATATACTTGGTATACTGTCTAGTGGTGTTTCAGCCATTGCTACTGATATCTAAAATCTAAAAAATACTTTTCTTAATTTATCAGGTAAAATAGAATCACTTAGTGTTTATCGCCCTCTCACCCTTAACAGGGGCTCTCATTTAAAAAAAAAAGGAAACGTTTTGTTCCTATCTTTATGAGTAAGAAAATTAGTGTATTATCTTATCTTATTGCATGAAGATCAGTACAAATAGCAGAAATATACAAGAGATGTCGCACAGAATCGATAAAAGAAACTTTTAGATCTGAAAAAGAATTTGCTGATAGTTCATTGAATTATTCTTCAATTGAAAAATCAAAGACAATTCTAAGTATAAAAAATAAAGCAACTAAACATATTCTCTATCTAACAATAGAAGACTCGAACAAGATCATATATAAATATCAACAGTTAACAGCATGTACTGTCTTTGATAATTAATTTACATAGGAGTGCAACAAATCTCTAATAGATTTGGATTTTCGACTTACATGATCCCTACTTTGGAGCTATGTTAGAATGAAACCAAATCCAAATCTTTCAATACCAAATCCTAAGGCTTCGGATTTATTGCATCTCTAAATCTACAACAGCAACAAAATAAATCCAAAAATGTTTAATAGCCATCCTGAAAATATTTTCTTCATACTGGTCGCAATTTACAACCACTCAGTAGTCACGCAAACGCAATTTTCAAAACTAGAAAAATTTATTAATAGAACACTTATAGTATGATACAATAAGTCTCCTTTCATTGTCTGATATAACTGTAGAGATTTTATTGATTGAAATGTAATGAATAGAAAAAAATTTCGTTTATTGAGAAAACTTATTTTGACGATTATTGACTTGTCAACGTTGATACAATTTTTGATTGTATTTCGAAGCAACTCAAAGTATCATAAGGCGTCTTACAATGCTTTTAAAATATCATAAAGATCGAATTGATCGATACAAGATCATAGTGTGTTCGCGTTTTCATCCGATGGAAATATTGAGTCGATTTTGTAAACTACTTTGTAGTTTGACCAATATCC